CAAACATGATGATTCTTTGTCATATATATATATATATATATCATTACTGGTGATGAGACACAGATTCATTACTACAAGTCTGAGAGTAAACAGCAGAGTATAGAATGGAAACATCTTCAATTGCTAAGCAAGAAAAAGTTTAAAAGTCAGCCACCAGCTGGAAAATTGATGCTCAGAGTTTTCTGAGATTCTCAAGGGCTACTATTGGAACACTGTCAGGAAAAAAGTTCAACAATCTACAGTGCTCATTACAGTGAGATGCTCACTGAAGAGCTGAAGACTAAACTTGAGATTAAACTCAGAGAACTGCTATCCAAGGGCACTGCGATCTTGTATGACAATGCACATTCACACACCACTCCCCACACTTTGACACTCTGCAAAAACTTTGTTTTGAGGTGTTAAGGTATCCTCCTTATGGTCCTCATCTTGCTCCACTGGACTTCCACCTGTTTGATCCCCTAAACGCAACCCTTTGTGGACGAAGATTCACCTCTGATGAAGAAGTGAAAAAAAAAGCGATGCATTTGTGGCTCACAGCTTAGCCTAAAACATTATTTAATAAAGGAATGTGAAAGCTTGTTGACAGATAGACAAAGTGTATTAAATATTTTAAGTCTTCTTTGCTTTCAGCCTATTACAGATTGTTAATAAGTCTTCATCTAATCCTGATGCCAGGTTCTTCTTCATATAATCCATTTTCTTGAATTATTTGCTCAGCATGTTGTTGTTATGTGCCGTGGATTCGGTTCCAACTCATAGCGACCCTGTACAGGGTTTCCGAGGCTGTAAATCTTTACAGGAGCAGAAACCTCATCTTTCTCCCACGGACAGCTGGTAGTTTCAAACTAATGACCGTGAGATTAACAACTCAATTCGTAACCACTACACTACCAGAGCTCCTTATAGCATACAGACTGAATACATACAATGAAAGGATATAACTCTGGTACATGCCTTTCCTGATTTTAAACCATTCCGTGTTCTCTTATTCTGCCTTTTGGTCATGTACAGGTTCCTCATGAGCACAGCGAAGTGCTGTGGAATTCTTTGCAATGTTATCCATAGCATGTCATGATCCACCCAGTCAAAAGCCTTTGCACAGTCAATAAAATACAAGTTAACATCTTTCTGGTGTTCTCTGTTTTCAACGAGGATTCATATAACATCACCAATGATATCCCTAGTGCTATGTCCTCTTTTGAATCCAGCTTGAATTTCTTGCAGTTTCTTGTCAATGCACTGTTGCAGTCAGCTTAGAATTCCCTTCAGCAATATTTTAATTGCAAGTGATAAAAACTGGTTAACACATTAAGAGGGCTTCAAAAAGTTCATGGAAAGGCTGTGTGTCCTTCCCGTATGCTCGCTGCCTGCACCCCCTCGCTTCCCTGTCATGCCTGCCACCGGCTCTGAACCACCGCTGCAGCCACTGCCCACCGCCCAGGAGCCCGCATGGTCACAGCCCCATGCGAGTTGCAGTACCTGGGCCAGATCAAGCACATCCTCCGCTGTGGCGTCAGGAAGGAAGGAGGACCGCATGGGCACCGGCACCCTGTCTGTGTTTGGCATGCAGGAGCACTACAATCTGAGAGATGAGTTTCCTCTCTGCTGACAAATAAGTGTGCGTTCTGGAAAGGTGTTTTAGAAGAGCTGCTGTAGTTTATCAAGGGATCCACCAATGCTAAAGAACTGTCTTCCAAGGGAGTGAACATCTGGTATGCCAATGGGTCTCGAGACTTTTTGGACAGCCTGGGATTCACCACCAAAGAAGGAAATTTAGGCCCAGTTTATGGCTTTCAGTGGAGGCAATTTGGGGCAGAATATAAAGAGATGAATTCAGATTATTCAGGTCAAGGAGTGGACCAGCTGTAAAAGGATACTGACACAATCAAAACCAACCCTGACGACAAAGAATCATCATGTTTGCCTGAAACCTCAAAGACCTTCCACAGACGGCGCTGCCTCCCTGCCATGCCCTTTGCCAGTTTTATGTGGTAAACGGTGAGCTGTCCTGTCAGCTGTACCAGCGGTCAGGACACATGGGCTTGGGGGTGCCTTTCAACATTGCCAGCTACGCCTGGCTTACCTACATGATTGCACACATCACAGGCCTGAAGCCAGGTGATTTTTGTACATGGCTTTGGGAGATGCACATATTTACATAAATCACATTGAGCCCTTGAAAGTTCAGCTCCAGCGAGAACCAAGACCTTTCCCCAAGCTCAACGTTCTTCAAAAAGTTGAGACAATTGATGATTTCAAAGCTGAAGACTTTCAGACTGAAGGATACAATCCTCATCCAACTATTAAAATGGAAATGGCTGTCTAAAGAGCCTGTCAGAGTTGTTTCAAGGAGGATGTTGTCAACTGTGAGGGTGGGGCTGGGTCCCCAGGGTAGAAAGTTCTTTTTGCTATAAAGGACAAAGGAATTAGGTCAAAACCCTGTTGGTTACCTATCAGTTAGTCATTATTAAAAAAACGGCTTCCTTTGAAGCATGTTACTAATAATATAACTATGCCAGCTCTTTTAATAAAAAAAGATCTTGAACTTGGTCAACTCACTGAAGATGTATGAAAATGGTGAAATTATAAATAATGTTAGGAAAGTGAAATTTTATGTGCTCTTAACATAAACATGCTAACTTCAGTGAGCTGAATAACAAACACCATCAGTCATATAGTGTGGTTATGAACATATAAAGTTATTTACTTTATATATTATTATAATAAAATAACAGTCTGCATTTGTCAAAAAAAAAAAAAAAATCATGGAAAAATCCCATTATCTTTCAAATTCCATTTTTCCATGAACTTTTTGAAGCCTTCTCCTACATACAAGGAAGGTGTATTTTTGAGAGTAAGTAAAACAAAGTCTGGGCGGTAGGATCCAGGCTGGAGAGTAGATGGAGTAAGGTTTCCAAAAGAAATTCTCAAAGGACCATTCTTGCTATTCTTGAAGAATGAGCAAGTGCATTGTCGTGATGGAAACAAAAAAAACTTATCAGAACAACTTTCCTGGTCTTTTTCTCACCAATGCAGTTTTCCATTAAAAAACAAACTTTTTCATAATAAGCCCCTGAGATTGTCCTGCATACTTTGAGAAAATTTATCAAGATTACCCATTAGGAATCTTAAGAGTCACCATACCCTTCTGAGCTGATCTCTCTGCCTTGACTTGAACTGCTCCACCAGATCCTCTTGGAAACCACAATTCTGAGTAGGCCTTTTTTATGAAGACTAGGACAAATCTATGACTGAGAGAGTTTGTCTGCAGCCCACAGATCACAGAGACATGTCTCAGCATGTTTTGTTTGGAATACACCCATGTGTGTATGAACTGGACCCCTAGAGCAGCAATGCTTTTTAATTTATTCTCATAAACAGTGGAAAGATGAAGACACTTTGCTGTTTGATAAAAAAACAGATCAGGCTCTGGATGACCCTGCAGTTTTACCAGCCTTTGCTTGCCAGTCCATTTTGAGAAAATTCTGGTTCTCAAAGATTATCTGTGATTGAAGGACAGTTTGCCTTGGGCACTGAGAACACTCTTTGAGACTCCTGAAGCACAAAGGGTGCTAAGATGCTCTCTTGCATCTGACAAGTAACTGAGGTTCACATCTGATGCCTCTTCCCCTCCACACGGAGACACTTTGGAGTCTGCAGCATGGGTTCTTCAACCACAACTGACAGCTGTGGGAACAAGCCAAGCACACATATAAGAACCACACTTGAGTCTGGCGAGTAGGCGGACTCAACCACTATACAGACACCCCTGGTGCAGACCCCATGCTCCTCATCTAAGAATTACTTTGTGATATTTACCAAAGTAACACTTCCCAATAAAAAAAATGTATGTATTCTATTTTGCAAAATTCATTTTGAAATATTTAAACATAAAAAATCTAAAACAAAGTTAAGACTGACATATCCAGAACCTTGGAGCCCATGACCTTACCCTCATGGGTGAATGAGACTCAGTAGGCTGTGGCCCAGCAGGCCCTTCCTGAGACCAAGGTTCTTAGGAGTCATGCAGGTTGGTAGCAGCAGGACCTGTGAGGCAGTGCTGCCAGCCAGCTAGCTTTGTGCCCAGATGCCTGCCAGGACTTGCTCGCAGCCAGGCACACTCACCACGACAGTCACAGCTTTCCGGTGCCCCACGAAATCCATGTTGGTTTTCCAGCCCTCCCGTTCAATGATCTGGGCGGTGGGGCCGGAGTTGTTCATGGCATGAGCGGACACCAGGTAGTGCCCATCAGGTGACCAGCTTAGGCGCAGCACGTGAGTCGTTCCTCCACACTGAAAGAAACATGCCATGGCTTGAAAGGGGGTTCAAGGCAATCTTTGTGACCAGAACTCTGGCCTGATTCACACACATGTGGCAGTACAGCACGCACTCCCAGCTTCTGCCTTACTCAGAAATACAAGTTCAGAGTGCCTCCTGCAGAAGGTCACTGGACTCTGTGGGGTCACAGCCTGAGATCAGGAAAGGGCTGGGACGGCTTTTGTGTCTCCTCTGAGGCACCTGTCAACTGCTGTTGTTGAGCTTTGGGCTTACCTCATCAAAAGGCTTGGTAATACTGGTCTCTAACTGCCAGTCCAGTGTCCGCCACACCTTCAGGCTTCGGTCATCAGCTTGTGAGGCAATGTATTTGCCAACAGGGTCCCAAGTCAACCCTTTTACTAAACCAGAATGACCTCTCAGAGTAGCTAGAATTTCTGTGGAAAAAAAAGAAAAAGAAATTTGGAAAAGCATTTTATCTAGGGAGAAACAATGATTCCATACAGGACAGGGACAAAAAAAAAGAAAAAAGGAGATATAATCCATGGGCCACAGAATAGAGACCCAAAAGGGACAGGAGTCTGCCCTGGCCAAATGCCCCCTGTACCACCAGTAGACCAAAAAAACACAAATCCACTGCTATCAAGTTAATTCCTACTCATAGCAACCTTATATGACAGAGAACTGCAACACAGAGTTTGAGGCTATAATCTTTACAGAAGCAGACAGGCTCAGCTTTTCCCCAGGGAGTGGCTGGTGGGTTTAAACTGCTGACCATTTGGTTAGCAGCCCAACACTTAACCCACAGTGCCACTAGGGTTCCTTTCCAAAGCAGAGGAGTCCCCTCATTTGATCACCATTCAGGCAGAAGCAACCTGAAGAAAGGGACAGCGTCAAGGAGTCAGGCATTATATATGTCTTTGTGGCTCCAATTAACACATGTGGGTTGAGGCAGCACATGCTCCCAAGAGGCACGAAGTAAGGGTGTCTGAATGTGGGCCAGAGGTGCCATGACCTCCCCTCCTGGACTAAAGCACAGGTCCCCCCCTTGGGCAGTGACAGTAGCACTTCTGGAAATCTGCCTGGCAGACCCCTGTAAAGGAGAAGGCACATCAGCCCCTGGGACTGAGTTTTGTGCTCAAAGGTGTGAAACAGGGCCCCTCATGCAGACTGGCAACCTCAGTACTACAGAGAGCTTTCCTTCACACCATTCTCTATATTTACCCTCTCCAGAGTCAGGTCAAAAGTGTTCCCAGACATGAAGAAAACATACCTCCAATCCAGAGTGTGTGACAGGTATTTTACTAGGTGTTAACATGCCATTTGATGTGACTGTAAACACACATTTGACATGACTTATAAGAAGTCCTGGTAGTGCAGCGTGTTAAGCAGACTATTAACAAGGTTGGTGGTTTGAACCCACCAGCTGCTCTATGGGACAAAGATGAAGGTGTCTGCTAACATAAAGATTGACAGCCTCAGAAATCCTACAAAACAGTTCTCTTCTGTTCTATAAGATTGCTATGAATTGGAATCAACTCATTGCAGTGGGTTTGATTTGTGTGATTTTTTTTGGTTAACGCATTGGATAAACCTGGATTAGTATCAGTCCCAATCTGCTGCGGGGCTTCAGAGAGAAAGTAATGAGCTGAATTTCAGGCGCTGAGCAGGACAGCATGTCTTCAGAAGACAGAGCTCATGGGGGTACAACTGTGAGCCAAACACACTGATTTGGGGCACAGTTGTCCATGTGCCACCCTCATGATCTGCATCATCAATGATTTAACACTTGCCTAATATTTTTCTCTAACAAAAACCTCTTTTTGAACCTTAAATAAATATGAGGGGGCTTTAAAAAGTTTGTGGAAAATGGAATTAAGATAATGGAATTTCCCCAGGAACTTTTAGAAGCCCCCTGATTTAAATGATGAAGAAAGAAATAAAATGAGGTTGGTTATTGATAAGACACACATCTATCATGCCCCTGGGGCATACTTGCTACCGCCGCAGGACTATAAGAATGAGGTTTGTGCAGAAGAGAAACTCTACAGGGGTTGGAGGAAGACACCAGACCTGGGAACTTTACAGCATTCCAGATGACGACTGTGTTATCAACACTGCACGAGGCCAGCCAGGCATCATGGGGAGACCACGCGACGTCCATCACATCTGGAAAGAAGACCAGGGTCTCTTACACGGCAGTTCAAGAACTGGATGAAGGTGGGCAGTGGTCAACACCTCAGCACCACTCTGTCTGATGGCCAGGCTGGCAGTCTTGAGGTTTGGGGGTGGGGGGGATGTCCATAGATCAAAGAATACCTGGCCTGGGACTATCATAACTAGAGGTTGGGTTTTTGTTTTGTCAAACAATTTTTAAAAATATATTCCCTAATTAGCATTTTCAGTTGACCATGAACTTTAAAGCATCTCATAGACTCTGTCCTACTCCTTTCATAGATGAAGCAACTAAGAACACAAGTTCAGAGCTGTGCATCCCACATGGATTAGGTGTATGGCTTTACACATATTTGCGCCTTCTCCAGTCACACGTGGGCCTTCCTCAAAGAGTCTCTTGAGCATTCAGTGAGACACTGTAGGCCAAGCACTTAGCAGAATGCCCAGCACACAATAAGGACTCAATAAAGAGTTGCTGAATAAATGAGTGAGCCAAAAGTCATTTTTAGGCCCTTCTCCTCCTGAACTGGGCCTCACCTCCATGACACTACATGCTCTCAGGAGCAGCCAAACAAAACCATTCAGGCTCATTTCCTCTAATTAAGTACTTTTACAATGTCTGATTTGAATTAGTAGTGAAAAAGTGTCATAATTGGTCTTTTTTAATGAGCTCGTATTCTCTATTGATAGGAAGGTCTTTTACGCAGTATATCTGACAAACATTGAACGCTGAGCCAACAAAATACAAGAAAGCAACAACCAACCAACCAAAATCCAAAACTTTCCAAGAAAGCAAGACCCTCCTCTAGATGCTCAGAGTCCAGGAGAGGTGGGCATGTAAACATTGCAATTTGATCATAGGACCTGAGTCCCAGGACCTAGATGGAGCAAGTCAGATAGACTTCAGTTGATGTTCTCACAAGTTTCCATCAACAATTTTTAACACAGATGTAAGCTGTACATTCATCAGCTCACCTCTCTACATGATGGAGTTTTATGTAGTCAAGTCTGTTTTTTCCCTTTGTGGTTTCTTTTTACTGTCTGCTAAACATTCCCTCTGGAGTCCTGGTGTGGCTCTGTGGGCTAATGTGTCAGACTGCAAAATCGTTTGAACTGCAAGGTCGGTGGTTCAAGCTCACCAGCTGCTCCTTGGAAACCCTTTACAGGGTCGCTATGGGTCAGAATCAACTCGATGGCACTTAACATTCCCTCTAAGGAGTTCTGGTAATGTAGTGGTTACGAGTTGGGCTACTAACTTCAAGGTCAGCAGTTCGAAACTACCAGCCATTCCGTGGGAGAAAGAAAGATAACAGTTTCTGCTCTCATAAAGAGTCACTAATAGTCTGACTCTTCGGTACATAACCAACCCAACATTCCCTCTGCTTTGTTGTGTCAGTGACTCAGTTCTGATTCTGAGCAACCCTTTCATAGGGTTTCCGAGAGCAGCTGGTGGGTTTGACTTGCCGACCTTGCAGTTATAGTCCAGTGCTTACCCTACAGTGTTATACCAGGACTCACTGCTAGAGGTTAATAGTCAATTCTGTTTTTTCCTAATAGAATTAGAAATTTTCTCTCGTGAACATGAGATTTTTTGGATATGTACTATATTTTGTGAGGGCCTAAGTTAATTTCCTCTTACCCACAGTCTGCTTAACAAGTACTATGCTGTTGTTGTTATGTGCCATGGAGTCGGTTCTGACTCATAGCAACCCTGTACAGGGTTTCCGAGGTTGTAAATCTTTACAGGAGCAGAAAGCCTCATCTTTCTCCCATGGAACAGCTGGTAGTTTCGAACTGCTGACCTTGCGGTTCCCAGCCCAATTCGTAACCACTCCGCTAAGGTGTTAATTCTTTCCTTCCAGTACTGGTAAGTGATGTGTCCTTCACAACCTGCTACATTCTTCAGTACAACTGCAAACTACTTCTGTATTGTCAATTTTGCTTTCATCACTGCAGCTCTGAATGTTTGGAAATGCAACCTTAGTTTTTCAGATGCTTTTTGGAATCACTTCTAAGTTCTGCAGTAAATCCAGACATTTTATATCATTTCCTCCTTAAATCCTTCTGGATTTTACTTTTCATTATTTTTTAAATTGTGAAAAATACACATGGGGGCTTTAAAAAGTCTGTGGAAAAATTCCATGAAGTTTAAGGTACCTTGTTCTAAGGTCTCTGGGAAGGCTCCTCATATATGTAATAGATTGTCTGCCTTTTCAACATCTTTCATGTGTGAAATTCAGTGATTACGATCATCATGTTGCCCATTGCCATGTTTCTAGATTGCCCAACATCTTCACCAAAGGCTCAGTGCCCCCATAGTAGTCAGTCCCCTCTTTACTTCTCTCTCCCACCCACCCCAAGTGAGCACTCATAAGTTTTGGTCCCTATGTATACTTGCCTACTGTAGATATATAACTGAGATCATACTTATAATTGTCCCTTTGTGACTGACATTTCACTCAGCATGATGCTTTCATGATTCATCCATGTTAAACTCCAATTTTGAATTTTCCATCTTCAGATGACACTAGCCACACTAATCCTTCTTTTTTTTTTTAAAATGTAATTTTTTATTGTGAATTGAATGATAGTTTACATGGGAGAACATTGGTTTTACACTTGTTTCAATGCAATGAATACAATCCCCTCCGCGCAAATTCAACAGTATTTGCTTCAATTCCCTCTGGTTTTTTTTTTGTTTGTTTGTTTTTTGGGGGAGGTGTACACACAAAAAAACTCAGGAACATATAATCATTTAAACAACCAAAGGGCACATTTTGCAAGCCTGCCTTCTGGCCACCAGCACACAGCCTTTCTCTTTCCAAGAGTCTAGAGTCCTCAGCTGCTCTATTTCTCCATGTCCTCATCTCTGCCTCCATCTCTGATGTCACTGCTTCTCTAGATAGGGTCCCACTCGTGCTCTTCTTCTTTGATGGTCCTAGGGTCCTCTGTTCCTGGACTGTAAGATTAACTTACAGTTATTTTTGTTACAGAACTACTTTTACATTGTGACACTGTTCCTTCTTGATGCAATCGTCTACCCATCTCTGACAGCCTCCTTTACCTGAAGACATATATCTGGCTGTGTCATTCTTGTTATTACAGCTGTTGTCATTCTTGGTGATTCCACTATGATGCTTCTTCGGACTCTTAACACTTAGGGTTCTTAGTTTCTCAAATGTCTTTCTTTCCTCTAACGGCCCTGACTCCCACTACCCCAGCCATTCATCTAGATCATAGCCAGAGATCGTTCTATGACAGGTAACGGCAATTTCTTTCTGGTCTCGATCTCTACCCCCGTACTGCAACCATCAATCAATGCCATCCTTCCAGCTAACTCTTAACTCCAGCAAGCTTTTAGTAGCGTTACATGCTGATCCACTGATCCTGCAATCCTTCCACTGTCTATTGCCCCAGGCCCTAGCTTCACCTCCCTCTTTACCTAGCTGAGATCCCATAACTCATCATGATCACTCCCCAGGGTCTTCATACATACTTGATAAGAAGTTCAATCCTCATTTTTCTTGAAAGGTCTCCAGTTAGGCTAGAACCCCACACTATACCAACATGGACTGAACTGTCAGGGTCACTCATCAAGGTGTGCAAGAATTCATGGGACTAGAGAAAAAAATGGTCTCCATGTTGTTAAGTTCAAAGGTCAATCCTTAGTCATGTTTACCTCATGGCACAATGGACAACACACTGCTTGCTCCCTCCTCCATCACACTTTCTCCACTGCCTTCTTCTCAGCCTTTCTTGCTGGTTTCCTATCTCTACAAGCCCCAGGCTCTGTCTGTGGATGCTGGTCCTACCCAGCACTCTTCCTCAATTCAAGACTCACCTATCCCACAGCCTACACAGCATGTCTATTTACAATTCTCATAGCCCCAACACATTTAACATATACAATGAAATCCTAATGATGGCCCTCAGTCCTGTTCCCCCATGTGGTGACAAGAGCTCCTTTCTTGTTCAGGCCACAATCCTTGAAGCTGCCCTGGATTCCTTGGTTTATCTCACATCCCAGAACCAATTCATCAGGAAATCTAACTGGCTACATATTTAAGACACAGCTGCATCCTGACCACTGCTCACGACCCAGGTCCCAACCATCATGGTCTCTTCACCTCAGTGAATGCAAAGGTTCCTCACTGGCCTTCCAATGCTGACCTTGGCCCTCTACATTACAGTCTCTACACAGCTGCCAGAGGTCTCACCATTCCTCTGCTCAAAGTCCTATTGAGGCTTCCCACTGCACTCAGGAAAAGCCCCTCACAAAGGTCTACAAGCCCATCACTCCAACCTCACTGCTTCCCTCCCCTCTTTACTCTCTAGGCCCAAACGCCTTGGTTTTGCACTGATTTTCCTCCATACATTGTGCCACCCACATCTGCTACAAGGACCAGGGAATAGGAGGGACAAGTACCTTACTTGGAGGTAGCCAACTCCACCTGCCTGGTAAAGAACACCCAGGGGATGGTGGAACAGGAGAGAAGTACAGGTTACAGCTTGGCCCAATTCCCAGGTGAGGGACTTTATAAAAGCCTCCACTCGAGGCTCTACCCGATGTGTGAACACCCTCCAAGACAGGTGTGCCATGTTCCAGAGAAGTCCAGCTGGTCTCTATTGCTAGCAACTGTAACAACATGCCATCTGTCTATGCTTACCAAGAGATGGATTTGTTTATCTTTAAACTGTCTGCATAGGATTTGCAGAGCATCTACTACTGATGGCTTATAGCCGATGCCTTCTGAAACTCTCTCTCCTGCTTCATCTTCCCCCCAAACTCCAGATTCAGCTTCAGCAGTCTCTGACCTTCCCCAACGCCCTCACACTCAGCACATCCCTGCCCCCACAAGACTTCCTATCGTCCTTACTGTTTCAGTAGAGGATGCCACTAGCTATCCAGACACCAGGCTAAGTGTCTCCATGCCATCCTACTACCTCTCCTTGTTGGTCCCAAGTATTTTCCTGCTCTCTACCTCAGTTACCACAGGCCTAGTTCAGGCCCTTGTAGCTCTGCAACAACCTTTTTTACTCATTTGTCATGATCGTCCTCCTGTGCTTCACCTCCCAGTGATCCTGTCTCTTCCACAATAAAGGACATGGTCATTCACAGGGACGCAAGCCTGCTTGGTCCTTACACAACTGACCTGTCTTATTTGTGACCTGCTTCATCTGTTTTGTATGTAAAGATCCAGCAATAGTGAAATGCTATCACCTCACCATTCACATTCAGCTGGTCCTCACAGCTGAGCCTGCTCTGTGCTGCCCCTCCCTTCTGCCCAGGATGCTTTCCGTTAACTTGGCTCACACACTTGCCTCCTATAAGCAGCCTTGCTTGAGCTCCATCTTTAATACAGTCCTCCAAACCCTAGATTCCATCTTCTTGTTTCAGAATGCTCATCTTACCAACAGTACTAAACCAGACCACAGGCAAGTCTACATCATATTAACCCTGGTACCCTAAACAGCATATGGCACATGGATGTGGACTGCTAGAGATCAATGTGTCTCTTCAGTCCAAATACGTAAACTGTGGCTCTTTCCACAGCGAGTCTATTTAAAACACTGTAAACACACTCAAGGTCAAGTGGAAAACTTCTCATTGAGCACCTGTGTGCTGGGTTCTGTGGAATAAAGAAAGCGTGCTTACGGACTTAGTGATCCACTGATGAAGGTACTGAGTCAGTTCACCAGGAGAAACAGCACAACGTGGGGAGTTCTACATTAAAAATATAAACACACACCCCATGAGGCCAGGAGTGAGGGCACTGAACACAGCTGGAGGCCAGCAGTGGTAATGGTGACTGCACTGACCTAAAGGGACAAGGGGGTCGTGATGGAAGGTGGGGTGGGGGCAGCCCAGGCACCGGGGTCAGGGAGGGTGGTGCTGCTGATCTGCATCAGCTTTCAGGGGCCCTCCCAGCTCAACAGGAGGCTCCACTCACCGCCGGAGTGACTTCGGAGAATGGAGACACAGCGCCACTGCTCCACATTGGCAAGCTTGCCACTGGAGCCGAAGACGGTACTGGGGCCAATATACCTGTGGGATAGAGGTGTCAGGAAGAGGCTCTTGGATGCTCACTGCAACAGGGCTGATCGTGGCAAGAACAAAGCAAAACCCAACCAGGGCTGGGCAACAGGGGCCAATGAGGGGAACTATAGAGCATGTCCTTGGAATGAAAAACTACAAAACCATTCAAAATCTCATGGTATTTTAGAAGCCTGCTACCCCTCACCCAGGGCATGCTTCTGTGGTTAAGGAACTCCCTCGGGAGGTGGGGGGAGGGGAGGTGTGGAAAAAAAAAATCTTGATCAAAGAATATCCAATGCATTGGAACATGTTCACATTATATAATTACATGAAAGGAGCAGGTCAAAGAACATCATATACAACACAATATTTCGGTAAAGAAAATACATATAGCATGGCTATCAGCTGTGCATAGGAAAAAAATAACAAAACCATAACTGTGACTTTCTTTTGAGTGGTGGGCTTGTGAAGGATTTTGGTAATTTTTTAGCTTTCAACATTTTATACGAAACATATTTTTTAATACTGGTGGTATAAGGTAGCAAAATCCAAAATATTTTTAAAGTCACCTCGTAAAAGTCCTACAAGCAGAGATGGCTGGAGAGATCAGGCGAACAAGCCCCCAGGGGAGGAAGTGCTGGGACCACCAATGTGCAGAGCCCGTTAATCCTCTGCCTCTAGGCCATGGCATAGGACCACTCTGGCCAAGAAATGTGTGGGTCTACGTCCACAGCAGGATGGCCCAAGAAGCAGACTCTTTCCCAGGTTTAAAGAAAAAGACTGTTGCCAGGTGATGGATGGCCTTGGCTAGCTCACTCTGGGTGCAGAGCAGGGGATTTCAAGGAGCTACTCGATGGAACCCCAGGTTTGAATGATAGGGAATGAGATGAATGGAAAAGTGGGTAGGCTCTGAGTCTCCAGCTCCTGATTCCATCTGAGCACCTTGGCTTTTTTTTTTGAAGTATTTATTGTGAACTGAGTGATAGTTTACATGGAAGAACACAGGTTTTACACTCATCGTTTCATTGCTATGATTATAATCTCCTCCGTGCATCATCCTCCAACAGTATTTTGAGTGACTTGGCTTTTAACCATTTTGTCTGTTGGAGGTTCCATGTGAAGCTTTGTTTAATGAACAAAGTGGCCAATGTCAGCCCTAGGCAGGTTAGGAATGGAAATCCTGAGGTCAGCTGACCAGGGCCCCAGTTGGGTTGGTGGTCTCCTGACTCCCAGCTGGCCAGTCTGCTCCTGATCTCCAGGTGTGTCTCCTGTTACCTATGAAGTTGGAACTCTGGGCTTCAGTGCCAGGATGGAGAGAAGGGGCTTTTGGGGAGGCATGAGAGAAGCTTCTAACAATGAAAGGTTAAGAAAGGAAAATGACGCTTACGTTGCCCGCTTCCACACCATAATCAGTTTGTCATCTCCCCCAGAAGCTAAATACATTCCACTGTTTGACCACCGCACACAGTTCACACATGCTGGGAAAAAAAGAAAAACAAAATAGGGTGATGAACATCAATAATCAAGACCGTTTTGCTTTCTACAAATCAAATCTGTCTCATCTAGTCAAGGCAACTACTGTCACTAACCAGTATGTACTGTGATGACAAATCACCAGAACGGGGGCTGGAGTAGGGAAAAAGATATCATCTGAGAATTGTTAGTACTGAGTGGAGGTGTGTTTTCAAGGAAAGAGACCAACGGTAATGAAAACTCATTATTGCAAAAGGCTTATCTACAGATGAGATGCATAGATGGGTAGGAATTCCTCACCAAATGACAGCATGTGTTCAAAAAGGCTGAAATGCCTGTTTGAACTTTCAGAGGGGAAACACAGTAAAAACTAGAACTCGACTTCATCCCATCACCTGTCAAAGCTGTTATCTACTGTCGCTGAGCTGATTCCCACTCACACTGACCTTAGAGAACAGAGTGGAACTGTTCCCCAGGGTTTCTGAGGGTGTCAATCTTTACAGAAGCATGGGTTTGAACCACTGACCTTGTGGTTAGCAGCCCAATGCTTAACCTATTATATCACGAGGCCTCATCAGGCTACTTTTTATTGTTGTTGTTTAACGCCATCGTATTGGTTCCAACTCACAGAACCCTGTAGAGGGTTTCCAAGAAGCGGTTGGTGAGTTTTGTATGGTTGACCTTTCAGTCCAGTGCTTTATCTGACAGTGCCACACCAGGCCTCCATCAGGGATATTGTTGTTGTTGTCAGGTGCCATCGAGTCAGAACAGACTCATAGCGACCCCATGCACAGCAGAACGAAACAATGTCCGATCCTGGGCCAACCTCACTACCACCGCCACACTTGACGGCATCA